CTCTCTCTCTCTCTCTCTCTCTCTCTCTCTCTCTCTCTCTCTCTCTCTCTCTCTCTTTTAAGCTGGAAAGGGATCGAACATCACCGGATAAGGGGGAAAGCTTCATTCCCTGACATAGCACTCAATCCAACACATATCATCATCACCGAACACGGCTGACCAGGCACAGCAGACTTGCCACATGAATGTGCAAGCCTTCAAAGTACTAGCATACGCTGGGTCTAGCACGCCTCAAAGCGCAACTATTCTCTCGTGGAAGTGTGACCAGATAACCGGGCTCCGCACATATATATGCATACCGTATTCCCCCGGGAGACTTAACGTTGCGCTCTCGGCCAAAACGTTCTGACAGCTGGCCCATAGGCCACCATCTACAAACATATCGCAAACAGCGAAACAAGTACGTGATCCCCGCCCAGCCTTGTACAACCCAGCCGATCAACGCACAGTAACATCTACATCGTAACACGTTGCGCAAGTGCCTTTGCAGCACCGCCAACGCCGTCTGTGCAACCCCCCTTGCGCGGGATTCTCCGCAAGCTCGTTCTAGACAAAATCCTGTAGAAAACTTCGAGAACACAAAAAGCAATCTATGCCGTAAACATGAAATGGATTAGGAACATACGCGCCAGCCCTGGGTGAACGTGTGCCACCATCACTTCAAACGGGGTAGGAACGCACAGCTATTTCCAAGCACGGGTCCAGGTACACGTGTATCTACCCTTGTTTTGTCACAGAGAGGCGTCCACAAACTATGCATACCACAGGTTTTCGGAGTACCTTCTGCCGAATCATGACACGTCAAAGCCGGACAATCTACAAAATCGTGCAGGGTACGGTGAGGTGTACGTCAGTTTTAAAGTAGGGGGGGTTTCTAGACGCCCGTCATTCTGCGCCATCCTACACAAACAGAAATGAAACGGGTCTCCGCGCAAAGCAAAAGAGGGCGACACCACGGCACGTGGTTCACCTCTCGTCTCTCCTCTCCGAACAAAAACACACGATCGCCTTCTTGAAAGCCATGCACCATTGCCTTGATACTACATATAAAACGAAACCAACCTAAAACTACCAAACACAACCATCAAACGTGGCAATTACAGCATCGATGCCGCAGTGACAGTGCCCGACCCCATCAAGTCTCTGGGGCATGAGTAATCCCTGCCTCAACACCGTGAGTTGAGGAGCCCATCGTAGCAGCCGTTACCGCCGCTGCCTGTGCCGCTGCCACAGTCTTCGCCGCCGCCTCCACCGCCGCTGCCGCCGACATTCTCAGAGCCTTGAGCTCTGCTTCCAGCTCATGCACCCGCCGCACAAGCTCTTCGTTGCTCGGCGTCGTTTGTGGATCAGGCTCGCCAAAAGCTAGTGCGGCGCTGTCGCCTTCAACGCCCTCGTCCCTCACTGTGCCCTCCCCAACCGATGGGCTGGTCACTGTCGGAGGGTTGTCGGTTTCTTCGACGCCACCCCCAACGCATTCGGCAGAGTCGTCTTCTTGGGCTGAAGGGAAATAGACGCTTGCTTCCCGGCTCAAATGCGGCGGGGCACTGGAAGATGCCCCGCCTGCTCCCACGCCGTTGGCTGCTGGTGACGGTGGAGACAGGGCTGTTGGCGAAAGCGGTGGGCTGCACGTCTCGCTTTCGCTTGAGCTCACGTACACGTACGGTTTGGGCGATGCGTGGTGGGGAACATCGCTTCCCTCGTGCTTGGGCATCTGAGTTTGAGGTGGAACAGGACGACGAGGGAAGCACGGGTTAGAGCTAGGGTAAGGGATTGTGTTACAAAATAATAGCTGCAGCTGACAGCAGCGAACACCCCAGGGTCGAAAAGGAGCACGGCACGCACGGTAGTACACCCTTTCCGACCATGACCCGTACCCGCTAGCACGAAGTGGGCGTTTGAAAGCAACCCTCGACCTCTGCAACCAGGTACTCTAGATGAGCCCTATTCGTGCGCAGACAATATATTGCTCAGGATCACATCGTAGGCTGGAGATGAGATGGACAACAATGCCTGTGGAGCCCGTTCTAACCTGCACTTCCAGGCCAAGACCTCTCGCTCCAGCCCTCAGCAGCCACATCGAGCTCCGTGCACCTCCAAAGGGATTGATGGTGCCACCGTGCAGGACTTGCGTGTCTTCTAGCGCCGACTTGGGCATGGAAAAACGCAAATGTCTCCACACCTGCACCAAGAGCGTCAGGAGAGAGAAACGTGCACAAAAATAAAAATGACTATCGGGGAGTTTCGATTAGGAACGCTTTCGCTGAAAATGAAATCACGGGCACGTCCGATCCACACTACTGATAGCACAACGTCGTGCGCCACTGCTGTGCGGTGGCTGAACTCCATCAAAACTGAAGTGCACTTAATCCGCCGGGATATGCAGACATGAGATGGCCAAACTCTCTGGACGTACCTCTTCCATACCAGGGCGATCACGATGCTTGCCGAGCTCTACCGTGTACGCCCCGATTGTGAAACGACCCCTCCAGTCCCACATCGGCCACGTCCCCAATACATCCCGAAATTGTGGATCGCGCCCATCGGCTGAAGCGTTGTTGTCGATTCGGCCTCTTTGGTAGCTCGACAACTGTCGCAAGAACATCACAAGTACACATGGCGTCAGACCACAGAGAGCGTTAAAGCTCAGCCGGCAAGCAGACAAAATAGGACACACCCCGTTCCACTTTGGGTAACGGTGCCCGTTCGTGCCTTGACCAACCGGGAATCGCCATGCCGGCAGCGGTCAGATTGAAAATGGCGTCGTCATTCAAGAGTACCCTCTCGCACAAGAACAATCCTCCGGCGGCTGGGCGTTCTGCCACCACCTTCCCAGCAATAAACGGCGTGGAATGCCGGGCTGCTGTGCAGAACAGGTATTCACATGCATATTTTTCCGCTCTTTGAAGTCCTCCTTTAAAACAAAGCAACGTGAGAACACCGCACACGGTCGTTTGTCGTAGGACACGATTCGAACAATCTCAAAGAGAAACCCCATCTCTGTGCACACGATCAGCAGCAAGCCTATACGCATCAGCCGACGAACCTGACTGCCTGGCGCTGGCGGCATTGGTGTCGTGTGGGCCTCGGGCGGCGCACCCATCCCTGGATCATCGTCGTTCGACCAAGGTGACACGTGCTCGTACACTCGAACGTACCGCGTTGAAGCTATAGCAGCACCCACAGGTCCCACCATCATCAGCTGTGGGTGGGGGGCGTTCGCCTCCTCGTCCTCCGGTTCCGCGGGCAAAGGGCTTCCTGTCTTTGTTGGTGCTGCTCGCAAAAGGCTCTTGTCCAAAAGCTGTATTGTGGCGGCCTCCAAGGCGACCGCAAACTGCAGCAGTCGAACGAAGCCAGGCATTGTGCGTTCACGAACAAGAAGAATTAGGCCTGTCTATGGAATGTTCAGGCCGACTTGTGGCCAGTGGTGCGATTGACACCGTGAGGCAAGGCTCCGAGTTCGTGCATAGAGCGATTCTCAGCGTTGAAATCAACGAGTGTTTAACGGCAGGCGCTCCAATGCGTGATGTATCTATGGTGTACAGCAACAGCTAATCACACACCAATCAGATGAATGCTAGCATGGTGTGCACGACACGGTTCATCTTTCATGCTACTTGTCGCGTGAGCAACGGTACGATGCAGTACATGGCAGTCTCCATCTCCACCAACGCATTACGCAAACCATCAATAACAGCGATTCCATTCCTTCTCACCGTGCCGCGGACAATTCCCATCTTGGCGCAAGCCTCAATTTGCCGGGCAGAGGCTTCCGTCAGCGTCACAACAACATCTTGTTGCGACAATCCCCGTCCGCCTTCTTCCCGCGCCAACGACGCGCTGGAGACAATATAGGTCACCACCGTCACCCCGGCCGCACGCATGCTGATCTCTACCGTTCCCGGCGTGTGCTTGTCCACTATCGGGATGCTCCGCTGTGCACTACGAGCCTTGTCCTCGGTGCCATGTGCGGCAGGCTCTTCGTTGGCTCGACTGCTGCTGCTGTCCGCGGAACCAGTGACCAACGAGAGAACCTGGCGGTGAGGGGAGCAAAGGTGCAAGCGTCTGTTGCTCTGCGGGACGAGGGGCTTGCCTACCCGATACGGCTCACCTATGTCACGGGGGAGTCGCACGAAGCGTTTCTCTACTCTGTCCTTTACTTTGCAAGTCGAGCAAACAGCCTCCAGCATCGTGTACAGTGTAGTAGGCTCGACCATGAAAGAGAAGCCCAAGTTTTTTTATTTAACGCTCACAACGGGAACGCCGGTGAAGAGCGCGTACTCACTAATTACGCATCCTCGTTCTCAAAAAACGACCCTCGTATCATCAATCGTAGGCCATACGAGGCGTTTAGACTCGTACTGTACCTTGACTTCGCGCTCCCCCACGTTATCGAGGGACGTGCGCTGCGGCTTCGCGGACGCGTCGAGCGCCGCCGGGTACTCGCGGGCAGGCTTATTTCGGCGGAAGGATGACTTTGGCTTGGATGTGGCCATGTCCAGTTTTTCCTGCAAGCGTCGTCGCTTTCCGATGGCACTCAGCTCCTGCTCGGCGAGGGCCACTGTGGGGTATCGAGGACCATTACAGATAAACGTAACAAGCGAGAGAGAGGCACGAGAAGGAGGCAAGAAGTCACGACAGTACACAAGCCCAAGTCAAGTCTCAGAGACGGTGCGTGTAGGCAGAGACAGAGCGAGCGGAACCCTGAAACCCTGACCCTACATTGTAAACATATACTTCGCAGTGCGGTATCAGATATGGTTCACATCACTATCTACGTATCCGTCTCGGCTACTACCTACCGTCGGACAAGCACATGGGACGCGCGCCTGAAACGTGTAGGGAATCGACTGCGACGTGGAATGCGATGCATGAGTCCCGGAAAGCGAGGTATAGCCTGCTACCGCCCAAGGGCTCAAGATGCCAAAGCCCTGCTTCAGAAGCAAGGGCGGAGAGTCCTTTTCGGCGCTGGACACGGATGGAGCATGATTGCCGCATTCTGCCAAGAGGAGCAAGGACAATTTGAGCGATTCAAGGTTTGGAGATATCCCATTCCTGTGTGTATGTGATTCACGATCGTAATGTACAAATGGGTGCCTTACCGTCCTCGCCGGGCGGTACGAAGATGGTCTCGATAGTCAACTCGCGAGGCTGCCGGCTCACTGCTGCCGGCGAGAAAAGGGCACAGCGGTGCTCCAGAACCTACAAGCGGACAAGGACGACAGCAAGAAATCCGCGCATGAGCGGCCGGCTTTTGAACCGATCGTCAGCCAACCAGCATGCATACCTCGATGATGCAGGTCTTGTCAGCCACCAGGTGTACCGTAAATTTCGGCGAGGAAGGCACCCGCGCGACTTGTATTGTAACTCTTCATCACGTCAATAAACAATGAGCGACGGTACAATGGCCATGAAGAAAACACAACTGTCGTACACACGAGCATCCTTCAACCGAAGCCCGATCGGCCAAGACCGAGCGCATCTCAGCTCGTCACATGACGGGCTTGGTTCGTCGGCCCGTTCTATTAATAGGAGATGCAACAGCGAGTGGCAATATGAACCTTCTGTTGCGCCACGCTTTTTGCTGTCCAACAAACACCGGGGAAACGTACAGGTGCCGTTGGTAGTGTAGCACACCATGCTACATCCCTGCGACAGATACGGGCTTCAACTTTTCCAGGAAGCAGCGCGCTCAGTACCCCATTTCCACGCCATTCTTTGCGGCGTCGGAAAAAATTGTGAAGAGCGTCTCTGCCAACACGCAATTCGGCGTTCGCAGTACCTAGGCGGTGTGTTCGCGAAAGACACAATACTGTAGGGTCATTGAAGGAAGCGTGTGGCCAAGGGAGACTTCCAGCGATGCAAGCACCACCCCAGCATACGCACCTTGAGCGGAATGGACGTGAGCTGCTTGCCAGGTAGGGTCATTGTCCCCAGCTGAGTCACCCCGAAGACGCTCTTATCGAGACATGTTACGGACAGCAGGAAGCTACTGCGAGGCACAGCCTCGACCATCTGTTGCCACCATGTAAGCCACAAGCGGTGTTGAAGGTATGAAGGGGACAACGTAGCGGCTGCATCAGGCCAAAAACAAGTTTTCACCACGTAGGGTTCCCGGCAAGCTCAAGGTAGTGCGTCGATAGTGGGCGAGTAGTGGTATTTGGCGTTCTCAGAGAGTGGCATGAGACCTTACAGACCTTCGGAATAATCATCTCTTGCTGTGAGCGATCATACATGGGACAGACAAGCGCAACACTATGATTTTCATTTCGGCTCCACCTGAGATCGCAAGCTCTCCATGCTGTCAGTGCGCGAGCGATCAACGCCGGGGCTCTCCATGGGACTGGGACTGGCGCTTGGAACCCGTACGCTTTGCGAGCGATCAACGCTGGGGCTCTGCATGGGACTGGCACTGAAATCCCGCACGCTTGTCAACCTGGCATCTTTCATGCGGCCGTCCCTGTCTGGTATAGGGCTGATGTTGCTGTTGTTGTTGTTCAGCATGTCACCACAGCTGCCGCTGGTCAATGCCCTCCGGTGTCTCTTCATCCGCTCCCTACGGAGATCGTGCACGTAATCTTTGCTCAGCTCCACCTTGAGAAATGATAATAGCACGGTCACAATCAGAGCTGGAACATCGTGGTGAAAAGGCCGTGGTTAATCCCAGCCTTCGGTGGCGTATGTTTATCTCAGTGGTTCCAACCTGCAAACATCAACACGACGACAAAACTGCCACGTGGCGCGGCATGTGTGAGGCCCATCGTTTCATCCGTGTTCCCGTGGTTCCTGCCATGCGCTTGTGCCGCGTGTTGTTCGGTCAAGCTCAAATGTACAGCACTGTCAAAACAATTCGCGATATCTGATTGGTATGCTTTGCATCCAGACGAGGTGAGAGCGTGAGAGCTTGCTCCACCCACCTGCAGACGGAAAGTCTCGTGCCAACAGCAGCGCTCGTTCTTGTGATCATACTTCGCAACCTGTCGAGCACGAAGCAGCACGCCCCACAGGTTGCACACGAAACAGAAAAAGCAGTCCAGGCGGCGCAGCACACCTTGAGCATGTTGGATGATAACAACATTTGCGCAACACGATACACCAGTCGCAGACAAGCCCGCAGTGCCCAACTTGAGGCGATCAAGTCGCCAGCAACAAACCGGATCACAACGATATGAGGCGCCCTCGTGTTCGAGTTGGGAGAAACCCAACGAAACCACGCGAACTACTAGGACCAAGAAAACAACAAAGCCCCAGTTCTGGACAGCCAGAAAAACTAACAGCTGTTCACTGCGGGCAGCAGCAAGCACCAGCAAGCACCAGCAAGCACCATAATGCGCCAGTACCAGCAGAACCATAATTCCATCACTATGCTCAGGAAAAGAGCCGAGCACGCGCACTTGGCAACGGCACCAGCGGTATCCACTACAACTAGGGTCGTGGGCGAACCGGGCGCCGTTACAACGGTCAGTGTAACGCGCACTTCAAAGCCTCTATCGATTGCAATCGTCGCACGATGCATGACACGAACGAGGCACACCTCTGTGGAGTTAGTCTCAAGATTCATTTCCTCCAGGGTGGCACTGCTGTCTTCCAGCATCAACGTCGCGATCGCTTTTGGAGCCAGGGACAGCAGGCCGACCCCACCCACCCCATCCAGCTGTCCCATGCGGACCAACAGCGTTCCCACACGGTCCGCTCCATCTCCTGCTTCTTCCACCACAGTGGTTTCGGCCGCCTCGTTACTTTCGGCCTCAGACAAGCCCATGAATCCCGCCTCGCTAGCCGTGAAAGAAATCGAGTCGTTGAGTGTCAGGCGGGGCGGGGCCGGCGGGTCTCCGACTCCTAGTCCAAGGCGGCGCTGCTTCTCCGCGCGGGCTTGCCAGAGCTTGTCGATCCTACTCCGCCAGCCAACGCGGAGGAATGCCATTCGCCGAGCAAACGCGCAGACCCGGTGGGGCAGCTGCGCGTCAAGCTGCAGCTGTATCGACCACAAGGCCTTGTCATGCCATTCGCGACGTGGGACGAGGACGGTGACAGACACGGGAGCGTGAGTGATAGAAATAATATACAGCGGATCCCTTGAGACGGGTCAACGGCCAGAGGCAATCCAACGACCGAAATACCATCGGGCTGCTCACAAGGCACGCGCAACGAATGAGACAGACACGTCGTGTCGTGGGCTGGCCAAAGGAGACCGCTATCGCGAACAAACGTCGGAAACTGCTACTGCTACTGCTGAGGCTTAGAAACCGTCATCGTGGCAGAGGTAGAGTGTATGCAATAGATGCAATAGATGCAATAGATGCAATACTTCGTAGATGCAATATATGCAATGGATGCAGTAGTGAAGCATTCGAGTCCTCACGCATTAACGAGCGACAATGAAACCACACATCAAAAACGATCCCCGGGTGATATTCAGCGTACTGTACCTGCAGCACGGCTGGATCTAGCTGCCCCTGGTCCGCCCGTTCCTGCATGGAAACGTGGGCGGGCAGGAGAACGACAGTATGCAGGGTTAGAACCAGTACGGAGGCCGTAAGATTAACACCTGACGGACATCAAACTGTGCTGTAGCTAATACCGATCGTTTTCGATAGACTGCCGAAGGTATCGCTACTGGCGGGATACGGAGGTTAGTAGGGAGTTTTCTTTTTGCGCTGCAATTCATCGCGCCAGTTGTACTTCTGCTGGATGATGCCTGGTCCACTTGCTAGGGTTAGGGTTTTGTGACGCCGATACGGGGGTATGGGTCACACCGTCACACCGTCACACCAGAAAACTGCCGTGGTGAACTACCCGCGCGTGAAATTAGTGGCAACGCCGGGATCAAAGCTCGTGCAACATCTGACGAACTCACCTCATCGATGGCAAGCTTGAACCCTCCTGCTTCCCGCAACTCCCAACGCCGAGTTTCCCTGTTTATCAGACCCCAGGCTTTATGGACGTCCTCCTGTGGAAGCTCCCACGGCATGAGGTACCTGTTGACATCATCCGACACGAAAAAGGCGTCAAAAGACTGTCGGACATGTCCGTCACCCTTGAGGATGTACTGATGTACACATGGACCAGGCAGGCCACAGAACGTTTCGCTCCCCCATCCTCTTGACGCAAGACTCTGGCGAGATTCTGCAGAGAAGAGAAGTCGTGATACGCATGCCATTGCCACAAATCACGCGACCGTTGGCTACATGACAAGGAAGTACTTGACTCGCCTGGCCAGTTTTCTCTCTCCGGTACGCTTGCCCGTGGCGCCGCTGCTCTTCGTCACTTTCTGTGTGCTCGACTTCGGCCATCCAGCCGATATTGGGAACAAGGGGAGGTGGGGAGTGAAGGAGGTAGGTCAATAAGACTAGCATTTGCTGGTGAAGCCAAGCATACAGTATATCTACAATATACAACTCAAGGACACGATGGCACGGGTACATAACATGAGAGCAAAAGGTCTGGGACGTGTCCTACTCCAAAACATGTTACAGTTGCGACACGCACCAGGCCAGTGTCACAAGAGAACGGCAGCACGTAAGGCTCCGAGTGAAAACACACCATCCACGCAGAAGCCTCAGCTCGTTGCGAGATTGCACGGATGCGGATGCTGCAGCCTCGAAGAAGGTACTAGCATATCAGCAAGGATTCCAGCCAAATTCTGCCTAACCTGCACCTGTAGGAGAAGGTCTTCGTAGAGCCTGTTGTGGGTCCCGCCCGACTTGTCTGAGAAGTTTTCCACCACGAGCCTTGTCTGCAAGAGCTGCCTCAACGACAGATATCGTGCCGCCCCAACCCACTCAGCGAACCACGTGCGCCACAGCAGCCCGCGGGCAGCTCTGTACTCGCTCTCCTCGGTGCTCCAAGGCCGGTCGAAAATCTGTGAAGAAAACAGTCCGCCGTCGAAAGATGCGTTCACACGTGCATCAAAGTATGGGGGCTTACAATTGCCAAACTGGTAAACAAACCAGGTCTTGAGGGCATAATGCGACGGACTCTAAAACAAGGGATGGCGCAAGAAACGCACTTTGCACCGCAGGGTCAAATATTCAAAGGCTCGAAGAGGGGAAGACCTCTGCCCGCGCCCCACCTTCTTCAGATGCCCGCCGTTGCCAGGGTACTCACTCCGTCCTCGCGCTCTTGGTGCTGCGATAGAAGTTGAAGTGAACATACCACCCGAGTGCACCCGCAACGACATGCCACTCACTGCCTCATCTGCACAGCAGTCTACACAGTCAGAGTATTAGCAGTGAAAATACCTCGCTCCTCGCCGCCTGCGCGGACTGCAGATTGTTCCTCGCGTTTTCGCTTCGCTGCCATGCAGATGACCGTAGGTCCTGCAACAGGGACGACACAAGTTGTGCGGGACATGATAGACAAGAAAGAGAACACGTTGGGAATTGCTCGACAACGAGGGGAAACGCCAAGGCGTCCGGCGTGCCGACGGGGCATCGAGACCGTATCTAGCTTTACCCCCTGTGACGAGTAGCTCAAGAGGATCATCATATGCATATCCTACACAACACTAGGGATGGTGACGAGATCAAATTGCACAGGCGATGACATTGTGAACGACAAGCAGCGGACTGATTTTCAAACAGAGAGCGGTTGAGAGACGAACAAGAACGGCAAGCAGTAATGCCCCCAAGCTCCGAGAACAAACAAAGGCAGTTGTGCAGATTCACCATCTATCTGAACCAGCCATTACGTATCAACAGAAACAACGTGCGTAAATCCTATGGACAATCAATAAGTGCGTAAGAACACCGCCAGCTCACCCGCAGCACGACGCCCACCGCAAGCCTCCACAGTGCTTGATAGTACCGCGATTTGTCGCTACGCCCACAGCTATCGCTCGGTAGGGTCGCGGGTACCAAGTCCCTCGCGGGCCGAAGAGCGCACAGCGCCAGCGTCCGCATGTGCCCGTTCAGCAGTGAGGCCCACCTAAGCAGGTATCCCAGCTGGTCATCTCCAACCTGTACATGTGTCCAACATGTGTCCAACATGTGTCCAACATGTGTCCAACGTGTGTCCAACGTGTGTCCAACGTGTGGGACGAAGGAACAACACCACGACGTTTTCCATCTTTTTGGTGGTAAAATTACCGGTGGGGTTGGCTAGGAAAAGTTTTCACCGAGCCATAACCCATGCACGTGTTGCACTAACGTATCGTGAAACGATGATACAAAAGTCGCACACCACGAAATTTTCTGACACACAATCCCAGACACCTACTACTAGATATCACGTGCTCAAGGCAGAAGCTTGCAGGAGACGCCGATGTCAATCCCCCCACACTTACCTGCACGTTGATGTCACCGGCCAGGAGCCGAATATCCATGGACTCTATCTTGCCCCACTCCTTCGCAGAAAGCACAACCCTGAGGCCGACACCACCCCTACACCGTCTGAGGAGCGGCGGCAGTGCTGCCGGGGGGCTCCTCAAGTCTTCCCTCAGCCTGCGCAAGGTCTCCTCTCTGTCGGTTGCGCTGTCGTGTGCCGTAGTGCCGGGTTCGATCGATCGTACCGCATACCGTCGATAACACCGTCGATAACACCGTCGATAATACCGTCGATAATACCGTCGATAATACCGTCGATAACACCCGTCAAACAGCGGTGGGAGGAAATACGACACGGAAGTGTAAACAAAAACGACAACGCATAGCCGTACCAGGCAGTAGCTTGCGCCCATGGAAGGAATACGGCGGTACCAACGCATGTTGATGGCACTCTCTGCGCAACAATGATATCTCCGGGTCTCGGGCGCGGTGTACATGGCAAGTCGCGCTACTGGACTTTTATCGCGCAAGTGCAGCGTACCTGTAGCACTCCTCATTGCGGCAGAAGTACACCGAGGCACCGCGCACGCTGGCAAACTTGGTAACTGCCAAGGTCGACGAGGTTGTCGATTCATCGGAAGCCGCCTTTTCGCCGCTAGCGTCATCTACACCATCGCTTCCGCTGTCACCTCGACCATGAGCTTGAGCGTCACCTTGTTCGTTGCTGTGTGCGTCCAGAGCTCCATCCACGGCGTCATACCGCGCTGGGCGCCGAGAGAACGGGCAACTTGACATTTTCAGGGTGACGTTATGCGGTTCAACAACAACATGGGAGGCTCAACAGATATGTTATGCTGCAGAGGCGGCGTGACTAAACAACACAATCTCACAGATATTTCCCAGAAGAGCAGTCTCCATCGCACGAAATTTCTTCCCGAGCCACCTCTCTCCAGCCAAGCCCCCGTCCGCTTTCACGTCCGCTGCATCGTCCATCTCCAACGATATGCCTCGCAAGCACACCCCGAACGCTACCGCAGGGGAGGAACAGCCTTGGCGTGAGCTGCTCTCGTCATTCACATCTCGGCGAGGCTCCTCGACTCTCACGTGTGCGTTCTTGACGGTAACCTCCAACTTCCGCATCACCTTGTGCAAGTTGTTGGCGGTCTGAAGGTTCATTCGCGCTGGTCTCTTGCCCTCGTCTGCTCCGCCTCCTCCCAGCTCATCCGCCAGCTTGCTTAAGATTGCCTTCACGTGGACATTCGCGCTTATGCTCCTTCGCGCATCCTGCAGGTTTCACGAAACGTGCGCGGTTGGTGGGAAGAAAGCAAGACTGGGGTGCGTCGTCAAGTTAAACTTCACGGGCGTAGAAACAGTTGGATAGGGTGGGATCTTGCTCTCCCGTCTTTATCGCGTCGACACTGCTCTCGCTCGGCCACACCGCATGCCACTCATCGTGGTTAGGGTAGAAGCAGCGCCTCCTTGGCTATCGTACGGAAGCCTTTTCTCGCTCCTTCCTGTATGCCCACCGCATTCCAGTGGGGTCTGACTCACGGTAAAGCATAAATCATTTTTACCTCAGCCTGCATGCTCCCGTGATCGCATACTCTGATGACACCCAACACGTCCGACACTGCCATCTTGACCGGCCGAGAAAAGTTCCAGGCGAGGGGGATATCGATGGACAGCTTCCCCACATAAAAGAAAGAAGGCGCAAAGGTTGGAGACAGAAGACACAGCTCGTCCTGCATGTGTACAGAAAACACAAGGTTCAACGTCAATCATCCATGGAGGAGTCAGAGTGTCATCACCGTCATTCGCATCATCAGCGTATCACCTCAATCTCGACGTGTTGGGCGTTGCATGCATACGGTCGGTGATTCTTCAACCTTGAGAACACCTTCGGCAGTTCTAAGCAGTGCGCGAAACATGTTGTGTCCACCAGCAAGGGGGCACTATCAAGCACCTCATGTACGATACGGCGCAACAAAAACAAGACAGTTCGTCTCAAGCAACGCAAACATAAAATGAGACAGAAACGATGCACACCGCCGTAGAAGTATCACTCAGTCCCGGGAAGACAAGACAATGTGCTTACCGTTTTGAAGTGCAGGTCGGAGAGTGTGATCTTAGCCTGCAGGAGGGAAACATCGACATTGTCCTTCGTGAAGCCGTCCAGCCAACGCCCACAGATTTCGTTCACCTTGCTCTCGATGAAGCTCGTCATTAGAGCAGTATTTCAGGATAAGACGGCGGTGGTGGTTAGTGGCGCGCGACTGGCAGCCTTGGTGTCGTACTGGAGCCACTCGGACCTGAAAAAAGTATCAATCTAGATTGAAGGAGTTGCTCCTGCCGCGTCTGCTGACCGAAATTTGCCTGCGGCAACACCCAGGACGGTATACTAGCAGCAGGAGCCGGAGTACACACGAGCCACCCTTGACTGGAGAGCGTCTTTGCACCGGCACGAAGCAGCTGTCAGTTGTCTGCCTCGAGCGTTGGGCGCAACAACAGCAGTAACAGAACAACACCAACAACAACATGAAATTCCGCCGCATTTCCCAGCAACTTCTTGGGGGGTTATCGATCGCATGGCAATGGTAGGCAGATAGCAGAGAGTTCGCTACGACAATATTTCAGGATTGAGATTGAGGATCTTTCCCACAATATTTATACACATGAAGACTATTCAGCAGTATGTTACCAAAATGACCGTTGTGGGAAGAACACTCATTGATTCGCTGTACAGCAGTTGCTGCCCGCGAATACGAAACGCCCATTTCGGAGGGGGTCGAGGCTCGATTTCATGTTTCGTCACCACAGTCGAGCAAAGGTCATGATAATTGGCACGGCTGGGTCAGGTGTGTTTCATATTTGGTCGCTAATTTTTCGCGAAAGACCCAGCCTCAAATTCCGAACTACTTGTACTGCGGTACGTTTTTTTTTTCGTACTATACGACAGCGAATCCATCTCTATTCACGGATGACAGTCGAGGCTAAATTAGCTATAACCCCGCTAATGCTACCAGTGTTTCTACGGTTCCCCGTGCATCTGACTGTACGTTATACCGGGAAGGTGTGGAAAGAAGGTGTTGGAATGGGTTGGGTATCGGGTGGTCCGTGTGCTGCACCCTTTAGAAAAACACGACATACGCATAAATAGTCTGGTCGTATGCTTGCTATAGCGCAAAGCACTTCACCTCCTGGTTGTAAACTACAAAACTACATTTTCCTGACTCGCGGGCCGCAACTGCTGTAGCAGAGCAGAACTTCCTTGAGTATTTTCAACTGCAACGTCTGCTGAGTGTTTTCAGCCTGTAATTGCGAACACAACCAGATCGTGTGTAGTCTATTCGTGCTGATCGCGACAGTGAGTTGATTCGATACGGCACACTTGGCACGGCGTTGCACTAATATACTTCTACTACGTTAGTCGAAGGACAGGACCTTACAATTATTCAATAATTTCAAGCAGCAGGCGTAGGCATGGTTTAACTGCTAATACCGCTGTCTGCTGGTGTATACTACCTCACAACAACATCACTTGACCAACTTACCAACCTATCAACCTATCAACCTATCAACGACGGTGGTTCCCGAGGAAGGGACTGTCGTTGTGGCCAAACGTTGTCCCAAGTGCATGCGTTGGTGTCACGTGTCACCACAATGGTTGTACCGCATTCAATTCCGGCGCCGTCGGCCTTGCGGGGCAAAGGGCTTTGCAGTGCATGCATCATCTCAGCCTCACTATTATAGTAGGTACAACCTGTGCCAGGCGATCATACCTGGTTTGGAGGGCAACCCGTGTATTAGCAATTGCTTTGTGGACAAAGCAGCGGTGGCACAGACCAGGAACTGGGAACATCATGTGTGAACTATGTACACGCAAGAGAGAATGGAATCGCGGACCGGTATCTAAAAATCGCATCTCTGCGCATCAGAGATGAGTTAGAGCAACAAATTGATGTCGGCGTCAAAACCCACAAGGGCATCGATACAGCTAAAGTTCAGTTCAGACCTGCTGATCCAATGATGGATTATTCAATGCCAGGACGCTCCGTCGCTGTATCTCTGTGACCCGGCGATAACATCAAGGATGTGGTGGTCCAGGAAGTTGTCCCGACCGAGGGGTGTCGCAAAATCGTACAGGGGTAGAGAGGTGCGGGGGTGGGGGGGCAAAGACCCGGTGAGAGTGGAGAGCAGAGAGAGAAACCACATACCACCTTCGGGCGAGAGAAGAGAGGGTTGGAGTCCGGGACAGCTGATCTCGCAACGAACTCGCGAGAACAATGCACACCTTTGCATGCCGGACCTTGCGACAAGCTCGCCCGCTGGGCTCGAGGTGGGTTTTGCAATGGCAGTAGAGCGACAAGACAGGGGGAGAAAAACCGAACCCGCAGCACCTCGAAACGAACATCTCATCTCACCTGTTTGGCGCGTGTGCACACCAAAGGGTAAGGGGTGCGGGGTTGCATTCTCGTTGGCGGTGAAGAATGGCTTGATGGGCTGCACTACTGAAGTGTGAAGTGCTTGCTATCTGGCCATGTTGGCAGAAGCAACGTGTCTATGTCCGGTTACCCCAACGATGACCCAGTTCATTCCTTCCATGTTAAGGCCTCGCCACTCGGGAAAGGTACTCTTGTACAAGGCAGCCAAAGCCAAACACTTGCGTGTGCTTGGGTTACAAGTACGTTTCCTGCCCCATGCCGTGCGTCTTCGCGAGTGTATTTCTCATGCTATGACTCACCTTTGCTTTGACAGCGCCCTACGTATATCATCGCGCAACTCTCTACGAAAAATACGACTCGACTTGGTTTGTTTTGTCCGAATGGTGTCTTGGCAGGTTACCGCCGCATAGACTACCCTATGTCGCATCCCGTACCCTCCCTGAACCGCCAACCCCCGTATTTCCCACAGTGTGCAAAGATAGCAACGTCGCATGCAAGAAGCGATCCGTCCCGTGCATAACAAAGCCACTCAAAAGAACAACAATAGTTAGGTTGCATCCTGTCCTCCTGTCGGGCTGGGCAAACATTAACATTTGCAGGGCGTGCAGCAGGATTGTGTAGCGGTAGGCATAGGATCAGTCCTATCCTCGATCGGCGTGCCCAGGCGTGTACAATCATGGTCCCATCGGGGGAATAGTATATCAGATCAATAGAGCAAGCAGCTCTTCATGCGCTTGTTTTGGTCTCTGCCATGTTGCGCATGTGAGGCTTGAAAACACGAAAACACCGCCTCCACTCACCGCCCTGTCGATGGCATGGGGTACTAGCGGTTGTAGCGTGTCCGATCAGCACTTGATACGTACGTGCCATTAGAGATACCTCACTAGAGCTTTGTGTAAAGCTTAGGCTTGAACACGCTAGTTAGTCTTTCAACGTGTCATCACTTCAAGTAGCATCAACTGCTCCAAGCAACGTTTGAGAATCCACACCAACACTAGTTTGTACCCTTCGGCCAGCACGTGGAGCAATCAGGCGTGAGCAATGAGCGAGAGATAAATCTACCGAACGATTGTGGTTGTTTGGACGGCTGCTGTGTCTTGGTGTTTAGCTGTTCGTTGATGAATCAACTCAGCACAAGACTCAGCAGCGATCTACAGGGGATGTGTTCAGAATGTATCCACCTACACAGATGTTGTTGTTCTTAGCGCCAACTGGCATCACTGATATTTCTGTGTATAGTCTTACACAAAGTCAAAATAAGCCCAGTTTTCCAGTCGGTTTCAATCCACATCCTGAAAAGACTTCAACACACCCTTTCCGACTGAGGTTAAATCTCGAATGGGTAGTCTTTCTGTGAGGTTATGTTTTGACTACACTTCCTAAAAAGACTCTGGGGATCGACGGATCGAACCCATGGTCTAACACATGATACATGATATCTTTCCAAATACGCCATCGGGTGCAAGGACGCAAGTGTCTCGCGCTTTGGTCTTGGCCGGGAAAACGTTGGTTCCCTTGGTTCCCTTGTGAAGATCCACCGGGCAAGGTGCCTTTTAGATGGGTGAGTTTGGCACAGACGGTGGCTGCCGGTAGAACGAACGAACAAGGCGCTTCCTTGCCCCCACCCCTTACACTCGCACAAAAGAGTCAAGGGTCAGTCATGATAGTCTGGTTCTGTCGTTCCGTTCCGTTCCCCTCCCCTGAAGCTTGTCGGTGCGAGGGATGGCGACTGAGAAGCAGGTCATGATGCGGATCAACGCAACAAAAAACATATCTAAGATCACGCAGTCCATGAAGATGGTTTCGGCTGCCAAGCTTCGCGGGGACCAGGCGCGGCTCGACAAGGCACAGCCTTTCAACGTGAGTCTCGTCCATGCGTTCAAAAGTCTGCGTGCGGGCTTGTTCCGGCATGGCCTTCCGATGCATATTCTGCTGTGCATATGTATGATACTTGGATGTGTCGTTCTCTCTATGTGTAAGTACAATGCACAGCTCTGTAGTGTGTTCAAGTCACCCGGTTGCCGATGCTGTCATTATGAGGGCACTATCCCTGCTTACCTTCCCCTTGTCGCGAATGACGCCTGTCCTGCTTGTGTCGTACGTTCTCTCCTTACTCCTCACGCCGACTGTGCCTCTCAATTGTGCGGCCGTGTTTCAGGCATGGACAGCGGAGCTCAACGAACCGCCCATGGCGACGGAGGACGGTATCGACACATCCGGCTGGCCGCAGAAGAACCTTATCGTGGCCATTTCTTCTGACCGAGGCCTGTGCGGAGGTGAGAACTGCGCTACTGCGCTCGTGTATTAAGCTGATTCAAGCGGAACCTTCAATCTCCACAGAAGGTGTTGAGGAGGGGAGAAGAACCTGCGTTGTTCCTCGTTCGGCTATGAGGGCTCTGGAAAGTGATAGTGGTATGGAGCCCTATAACTGTTGCGCATAGATCGTCTCGTGCAGCAGTACCAGCCTGTATGACCCCTCGACTGGTAATCCCACCAAGGCACTTCGTCGAGTGTAAAGGCCTTCAACTTTTCCACCAGTGCCAAAGAATGGCTGTCTTTGCGTGGAAGATGAGAAAAATGTAGACTTCCCCACGTTTCGGGATTCCCGTCAACACCATGTGTTTATGCATAACATCCAAGCCTTGCAGGCGCCTTCGAACTCTGCAACACATGCGGGCCGGGAGATCAGGCTGGCCCAAACGGCATAATTCGGTTGCCCCACGGCGGTTGTCCATGTCGTTCAGACTATCGATCTGCCCCGCTCGTAACCGTTGCTTGCGGTCTTGGGGGGTTGGTTGGTTTGTGGTTTTATTGCGTGTTCCTGGTGCTTTTATTGCGCGTTCGTCTTCAGGTGTTAACTCGTTCGTCACTCGCGCCATCAAGAAGATGATGATCAGCACCAAGGAGCAGGGCAAGGAGACTACGCTTTTTGTTGTGGGAGAGAAGGGTCGCTCACAGCTGTCCCGCGTCCATGCCGATGTAAGCACATCTGGTTCCTCCTTTGGTCGCCCCGTACCACTATACATATATTACGTTGCAATGCCGCGGTTGACGCCATCTCCAGAAAGCGTTTACCGTCCGTTGGAAGCGGCATTGCTGAAATTCAATGATTGTTCTGTATGATTTAATTTATTGGGCTGCACTTGCCCGATAGTGGACGACGAGTGATCGCTCTTCCTTCCGGCCAATCCGCGATGCCCCCACCCCCTTTACGGCCTGATCGTCTGATTGGGCTTGCCATACCCGGGCGCTTGTCGTGGTGCGTTGCGTTGCGGTTTGGTGCCGTGTTTTCGCTGTTGTGCTACTCTGGGAGAGCAGGAGATGACGGCTGCTTGCACGGACGCGACGACGCCAATGCAGTTCGGCATGGCCACCGCCATGGCCACGGAGGCCCTCAAAAACGACTTCGACACCATGCACATGTAAGATTTATCTGTCCAGCAAAGATCACTCACTGCCTTGGTCCCGCGCTGCTATCTTGGATCCTCTCTGCGGGCTTTGCTCCCAAGTTTTTTTTTTCTCACAAACGAAACGAAGTTACATGTACCACCGCGGACCAATGTTCATGATGGGATCACATGATATATAGGGCTTATACCAGGTACTTGGTCTGGTCTACCGGTGTCCCGATTGTCTTGACAAGCTGCAGCAATGAACCTGTCTGGACATTTTTACCTTTAGATGTTGCGACATCTCCGCATGTGTTAACTTCCCTTATGTTTGGAACCAGGCAACACACCACAACAGCAGCGCTGGACGCTCGTTGGCTACCTTCGATTCCCAGCACGCGCGTTGCAACGCCGCCCTCGATACCCCTTTCCTAAGCCATCGTGCCACACTTGCCATACTGCCCGGTTCCTCTTCCTCTGGTTCTCGATCGATCAATCGACCCAGCGTGTTCAACGTGTTCAAGTCGGCTATCGCGTATGAAACTTCCATCAAGAGCCTTCCTCACTTGGCCACGGAGGGAGGAGAAGAGCAGATGGTCGAGTACGAATTCGAGCCTGACACGAAAGAGGAAGTCATGCGGGTGAGACAGATTGACGGATTGAGACGAGAAATCTCACCCTGTAAATGCCCTATTTTTTTTTCGTACGGCAGCAGCTGGTATCCTTGTTGCGACGTTGTCGATGCTTGCAGATTTGTCTGCCCCCCCCCAGTGTGTCTCCTGTGTGCTGCCAAGGTCCCTCAACAGTGCGGTCCACTTTGTTTGCCCGGACCTGTTGTCGTTGGATTAGGATATTAAGACGGCATGGCACCGGACTCGCCTACTAAGCGGGAACTTTTCGATCCCCTACCCGCATTCTGCTGTAACATAGCGCCGGGTCCCGCAATTGTGCGGTTTTCGTTCGTTTGCCAGCATACCGTTTAGTACCGCACAGTACCGTGGTACTTTTGAGGGACCTGCAGCGCCTCTTGGCTCCTCAGCAGCGTATTATGGTTGTACAACGCTTTACTTCACTCATCTGACATTGCATCGTACAGCCGTAGAGGGTTTATTCGGACGTTGATGTTGATGTATGCATCACTGGCCTCGGGGGTAAAGGGGTGGGGGATGTTCCGTTTTGGGTAATGCATGTATCTGGTACTCATATTTCTAGACCGTGCAATAAGACTGCTATGCCGGGCAAACCCCACCATCTTCAACCCAGGTACCAGGGTTAGCGCTGGGTTATGATTTGCTTCTGGACATGAAAGTCGGTACACATACCTGCCGTCTTGATGCAAAACCGTACCCATTCCAATTCCCAATGTTTCAAGCTGAAGCCTACACTCGGCAAGGCGAACAGCCGGTGGAGGTAGTGGCGATGACCCTGACTCAGATACATGTGTTGCCTTTCCGACTGTCTTGCCGTTCTACGGCTGTATTTCTCCCCTTCCGCAGGACATGTACGAGTACCTTGTGGCCTCGCAGATGTGGCACAGCTTGATGGAGAGTGCCACTTCGGAGCAGTCGTCTCGCATGAACGCCATGGAGAACGCGAGCAAGAACGCGGGAGAAATGATCGACAGCCTTACCCTCATCTACAACCGTGCTCGTCAGTCGCGCATCACTACCGAGCTCATCGAAATCATCTCGGGGGCATCGGCGCTTGAGGAGGCCAAGTAGAAAATGGTGCTTCTGTTAGGGTTTGGCATCCATGGCGACTTGAGGGTTCAGGAGGGAAGGGGGCGATGGACGCACGAGGATGGGCGAGAGCTATGGCGTTGTATTGTGTTCCCAAACGGGGAGTACCCTCGTGCTCGTCGTGCTGCAAATGGCAAAGATGCGTGTGGCGGTACACAACTGACGGGTTGCGTTTCGCGGTACGGGTTGTCCGAGGGTTCGCCTCAAAACTAGGCGTGCGCAGAAAACTTTGTGGTGCAGCAAGACATGCAGGGAAACGTGTCTTCGCGTTGATTTGATTGCGTATTGTAGTCTAATAGCACGCTTGGTTTGTCTCGTCGACGGCGTCTTGTTTTACCTTATGATGCTTGGGCATCGGTGTAGGCTCCATATATGATTTGGAGAAAACTTGTTCTCTGCGTTGCTGCTGCTGTTCTGGACGCGAAGATAATTTGCCGCTGAAGCAGTAAGAGGGAGAGCGATGTGACCCCAAGAATGGGTGGGTACGTCAGCGTTCTCATGCGATTCCTCTTGAACATCTACCGCACATCATCTCGTGCAAGATGAAAATGTGCATGACTCGTCTCATCGGAAACTCGGATCATAGGACTATTCCGCGCGGATTTTGGACCGACCTCCTGGGACGCTGCAAGTAGCTACTAACAAGCCTTTGCGTGGCTCGCGCCGCTGCTGCACATACAGTAGCGTTCCCTTCCTCGCGCCACACTTCTTCCTTCACGCTTGGGCAATGGGCACATTGCACTGCTGCAGGTAACCACTGCTACTCGGTTCTGGTACGCAATACGTTAGTCTTATCAATCGACCTCCTTTCAGGCACCATAAGAAGTAAGAACAACAACACAACAAGTGTAAGTACAATCAAGGGAAAACGACACAACAGGGTATACCCTGGTCGAAAAGCGACACAACTGGGTACACACTCATTAACAGCAGAAAATGCGCTCATTTGATTGGTCACCGCCCAATTTCACCCCGATGCGTCGCTTTTCGACCAGGGTATACCCTGCCGTGACCACTTTTCTCGAAAACTGTACCCTGTTTTCGAAAATGTACCCTGACTTGTCGGGAAATCAGACCCTTTCATCAATTATTTCCCCCGCAGGAATCTTCCCAACTCCTTTTCCCCTCCAACCATGAGATACCAAACGGCGCCTCTTCCCGCCCAATAACAACCATGGCAACGGGGCAGGAATCAGTTTCCGCCCCTGCGAAACAACACCAACGATCAACTCTTCCGCTCTAAATCAACAATGGCCGCCGGGCAATACCCCAGCACAACTCTGTTCCGTTTGGAAACATGCACACACGTACGATACCCCGTGGACGACTGCTTGCTGCAGTGTATATGCGAGATGCACGGGTCACGCTATGAAAGCGAGACCGATCCTGCATGGTTGACATGCATAGTCTATATATGCACATATTTGCCAATGTGACGCGCTGCGCTTTTGCGGGCGGAGGGGAGAGGCAGCACCAGCAGACACAGACACGCCCTTGACATCAACCATGGAAGGAGGAGCGAGCGGCAGCGCAGGAGCGGCGACGGCGGGTTTGTCCACCACGGTAGCGCCCGTTACCGCAGGCCAGGTATTCTCCAGCCGCCATGCCGCGAAGGTCGCCGTAGCCGCTGAGCTTGCTGCCACTGGCCGTTCCATGAAGAATGGAAAGGGTGCCGGTAGTCGGCAAATTCACCTGGTTTGCAAGACTTGTACAAGTTGGGTTGTTAAAGGCTGCCTACAGAAGGAGGGTGATTTCAAAATCACCAAGGTAGAGGGCTCGCATGTCGACTGTGCTGGGGGTGGGCGGACGAGCTCCGCAGTGGTACAATCCCTGGTGGACTAGTTGGTTAGGGCCAACCCCAAGATCGCCGGTCCCGCGATCAAGAGGACCATGAAGACCGTGGGGTTTACCGTCTCCGACCGGCAATCACAACGCGCGAAGAAGCGCATTGCGACCGCGTCTAAGGAGGATGAAGCGGGTGCCATTTCGCGTCTTCCATCCCTTTTCGAAGGGATCGAGCGCGATTGTCCGGGTTCGGTCGCCACCGTCGAGGTAAGAGTTTGATCGGGACCCTATTGTTCAATGTGCACGTGATGCAGCCGTGCAAGGTTGGGCAAGGACTCCAGGCAACAGCAATACCACATGTACCCTAGCATGTTGTAGATGTGCCGTCGTCACGTTCCGTAGGCTCTGGGCACAACTGTAGGCTACCCTCGCTTCTTACTCGCCTCCATCCAAATAAATGATCCATCCCCGCACGCGATGTGTGAGCGACGTGCAGCCCAGTGTGTCGTTCGGGTCCTGACCTTCCTGTGGTTGTTATCCCGGGTGCACGCGTTTTCCCTTTTTAGGTGAGTCCCGACAACCGGTTCGTCAGGAGCTTCTTGATGCTGGGTAAGGCCGCCTACGTCGCCGCGCACAGTGTCCCCAAGGCGAGTGCATCTCTTTCGTGATTCTCGTGCAGACGTTGCTGGCTTTTCATTTTCGCTGAGATTTACCAAGCTATTAGGTAGACTATGTATTCAAGCCCTGGCGAGCGCCATTGGCCATTGAAGCCGTGGAGAGCCAGTAAAAAAGTCACAAACAATACGTTTGTCACGTCGATGCGCTTTTAGGTCGAACGGTACGACACAGCATCCTTGAACCCTCTACATCATTTGTTTTCGAGGAATGAACTCGCGGGGGATAGAAGCAGTGTTGTTCTGAAACCCGCAGCGAGGTTTGCGCAGGCACAAGTGATTTTCATTTTCAGGTAACAATCGATTGCGCGCTGACTTTCCAGCCACACAAAATCGAAATTACGACCAGCCATGTCTCGAGCTCACCAGCAAAGTCGGTTACTATGCATATGTATTGTAGCCCACCTCTGAGGACATTTGAGGCTTATACCAAGTGGTCCGAGCTCACCAGCAAAGTCGGTTACTATGCATATGTATTGTAGTCCACCTCTGAGGACATTTGAGGCTTATACCAAGTGGTCCGAGGAAGGCCATCAGCAATTGCTCCTCAGCTTCAGACTTGAGCCCCGGGTTGAATTTTGCACTTTGGTTGGCGCGCCATGTCTCGTAGCGCAATGGGGTCAAGTGTTAATTATGGCGATAGCAGTTCCCACATGTGTTCATGGTACGCCGTGTACTACGTGTGTGTACCCTCTCTAACAACATGGGGCCGAACAATTGCACCACGGAGATCCGGTGGAGGTTTGAAGTGGGGTCAGCAGTAATGGATAATCGACTACTACCTGCTTATTGTCTCGAACAGGCAATGTCTCTGTGTTCGAGTGTATGTCTTCCTTCGGCACTTTACCCTTGTCAACAAAAATGCTGCTGCTTGTGACCGTGGTACCTCCAACACCACGGCAATGCTGTGACCGACATTGCTGTGGTTGCATGTACCTCAACCAGCGTGTTCCCAGTGTTGTTCAAAACGAGCAGTAGCTTGTTTAACGGTTAACGCCATCCGTGCGAGGAACGGTGGACAAGGACTGCTGTTCCCTTCAAAATTTATTTCAATTGAAAGAACCGACAGAAAAGAAGGCACCCAGAGAAAGAGAAAGTGAGAAAAAACGGGGGGGATGCCCGCGTCAACCGACAAGGGTTGGGTAACATTGCGACCTCATCCTACTATCGTTACAATTGGGGTGTGTTTTAGGGCCGGTATTGATCCAGGTGCAAGCCTACAGATTCGTACACAGCAGCAATATAGAAAGCAGCATATCGGCCACGGAAAAGGCTTTCCTACTACCCTTGGCGGCATCTCGCATTTCACCTGGGGTGCTAGCTCTCACTCTTGCCGTTTTGGTAATTTTCTACCGTCCGTTTGCACGAATCCGAGACTACGTCGTATGATGACATGTTGCTCCAGCTCTCGCCCTTCTCTGGACTTGCTTCGATTACAGCGCATTTCTGGAACTGTACTCGTCGACATTGCTTCGCAGGTTGATGGGCGCCCGCGTCCCAAACAGGTGATGGGATTCAGAGAGGGCGAGCCCAAACAACACTCCGGCAGCAACGCAAGTAGTGCCTTACGAGACCTCCCAGCACTTAAAACCGTTTGATCTTGCCCTTACGAAATATCCAATTCTCCGCCCCGCCGTTCTGAACAGATGGTGGCCATGGACGCTGGCCACCTCAAGGGTTCGTGGAAGGGAGTCATGTACGTCCTCTGCATGCATGACAGCAACAACAAGATCATCCACGTCACCACTGTACTCGCAGACAAGGAGAACGCGACGAACTACAAGTTCCTGCTCCAGCAGACCTGCCGGAACGAGCACATGCATCGACTTCTTTCGTCCGGCGAGGTGACGTTCGTCATCGACGGTCACAAAGGATCACCGGCGGCCCTCAGGGCGGTTGTACCGCAAGCGCCATGGCGTGCGTGCGTGAGGCACCTCATCACCAACAAAAACATGAAGGCAATGGGACACGTGAGTAGAATTTGGGGAATAGTGACGTTTGTTGTTGGGGTTTTCCAAATGAAATGATCAAGAGTTTCGCTGCATGTCGTCGCGCATAGCAACCTTTATTAATATGTGTAGAGTATCGGACAGCCAATAGAACATTTCCCTGCTGGTGGAGTCCAGGTGCACAAGATGAGGCACTGGCCCAACTTGAACACTTGACCATCACCCCCCCAGAGAGCCGGAAAGTTCTTTGCTACAATATTGCCTCGTCGTTGGAATTTCAGCCCCTTTCTCGCAAACCGCATGTACCGTATATTGGGGGACACGTCGTGTGCTACTTGCGACGACGCTTCACGCGTAGTTTGAGCGGATCACGTGTTAGGGTGTGAGGGATGGTGCAGTCTTATGAACTGCAGCTTTTTTGCATCGCGCGAAGGGACCCAAAACTGTATGTACGACCCTCGGGCCGCCTCCGCGCCCCCCCAAAAAAACGCTCATGACTTGCTGTGCTAGAAAAAGTTCCCGCCCATTTTTTTGCACCCTTGTAGGAGAAGGTAACTCATCTTGCGTGCGTGGGAGTATGGATGTGTGACGGTTGTTGAGCCACAGATGTTGCGTTGTGAGTAATGGACCTCCTGTCAAACAAATATTGCAAGAACGCCTCCCCAGCACTTGTTTTTCTGTGCCCGTTCCATTTTTCTGGCGCCAGCAGACACACCTCTCGGTGAAGATACATGTTCAGCTCATCAGCCAGGGTCACACACAACTCTTCTTTGCCCCTTTCGTTATTGTTTCTCCTCACCAATATTCCCTGTTTCGGGCTGCAACGCAGGCCTATTCAGTGGCGGTTTACCGAGCGGCGGTGATGCCTACCAAGGTCCTGTTTGAGGAGGCAATTGAGCCAGTCAAGAAGGACTTCCCGGCCAACTACAACCTCCTCATGAAAAACGACCTTGACAAATGGACACACCATGCTACCCCCAACAACCTGGTCAACCTGAAGATGTCCACCTCCAACTCTGCGGAGTCCACCATTTCCGCGGTCGGCCACCAGGTTGGTGAACGAAAGGGGTGGATATGTTGAAAAGCCTTTTGCAGGTCCGAATTGACGCACTATACCCTTCAAGAGGAGCGTTTCTCGCTGGATCTCATAGCTGGTGCGTCAGGATGTCCTCTCACTCAGCGTCAAGCGGCAGATGTCGGTTCCCGTGTGGGCGTACACAGGAGCCAGCGTTTTGTGAAGCCCCCGACAGCCGACTACTGTAGTTCCGAGTGTTCTCTGTTGACATTCCATCGCTTGTTCTCATTTATGCATGTTATCTTGTGTCGTGAATGTTGGTGGTAATCGAAGTGGTTTTTCGTAGGTGCTTTTTCTTCAATGGGTCGATCCAACGTGAAAGAACCCAAGATGAAGCGACTATGTACCATCCCTCACTACTATACATCCGCATAAAAAATACTTGGTGGATGGGTGCATTTCTGTTTCCCATCCGGAGAGTATCGTAGCCCCTCCCTTGTCACCCGTTGGTCAGCGTGTCAGCAGGGTCCATGCTAAACGTAAGGACACATGTACATTCTCACCCAATTTCATTATTGTTAGGAATCATGCAGTCCCGATTCTTCAACGGCCACTTGTCCGTGTGTTGTGATTTCCTTCTCTACGCACCAGTGTGTGCGGCAAAAGCTTTTTATGGTGTTCCTTTTTAACTCGTCAGCGTCTGAATCGTTGATGTGTCCCTTTTCCGTTGTTGACGTTTGTTGCTCGCAGAAACGGGAAATGGACCCTTATCATTTCCACATCGAGATTGCGGAGAAAACTGCGGAGCAACTCGCAACGAATGCCGAACTACTGAAAGACTGCCATGCCATCCTCGTTCCTTTCGCGGCCAAGTTCATGGAGGACGAGAGGTTGCTCAGTCTTAAGTAAGTACCGGGGCAACCACGCCTGGTGCGTTCCTCGTTCTTTCCCCCGTTAATTCTACGGCTGCGTGGTCGGTTGGGTGTAGTACGACCCCGTCGGTTGGGTGATCCACCCGTGCTGTCTCTCTCGTTATGAGTCCATGATTTATTCGTCCGTTTCGGCTGTCGTTTTGTGTGTAGTGCACTCTTGACAACCAGAGAATGACACCGGTCGCCCCGGTGGTCTAGTGGGTAGCCTCGCAACCTGCTAAGGACCAGGTCATGGGTTCGAGTCCCGGCAGAGAGAGTTTTTTCCCACTAAATAAATCCTGGTCTAGGATGAAAGCGACGCGCTGCAAAGCTCGTTCGTTAGTAAACCATAATCGACTTCGTAAGTCGCGAGGGAAGGGATTGCTGTACCCTTCTCGCGATAAAAATACCTCAGGCATGAACCNGTAGTGCACTCTTGACAACCAGAGAATGACACCTGTCTTTCGTCGACGGCACAAACTCTGTTTCGTCTGCTTTCTTCCCTTCCTTCTTCTGTTCATGGCGTTGGCCCCACTCGTCGGCAGCAAGCACGTCAATAGCATGGGCTTGGGCACCTACCTTGTTCAGGAGCACGGCAATGAGCCAGTACGGCAACAGGGTGACAATCGTGATGCCGGACACGGAAGGGAAGGGTGGCCGCGTCGAGAGCACCTGCAGAGTCTCTGCCAGGTTCCACCTCCTGTGCCAGGACGCCCTCGCGGTGTTGAAATGTAAGCCTCCTCCATCGGGTTGAAAACATGGATCGCATTTAATTATTGGATTATTCATTCTTCGGCTTGGTGTCCTCTGTTGACCGTCTGTGATCCGTGTGCATTCTGAATGTTTTATTCTCGCAGCTCACTTGCGATGTGCGACCTCATACAATCTACATTGCAGATCCTCGTATCTCCTCTCTGGGTTTTCCTCTGGTCATCTGTCCCTCGAAGTTGTTCTTTCTTGGCCCTTCTTTCTTTTGCCTATGGCACAAGCTCACCGTTGGCTGTGAACGAGGTTCTCGTAGAATGAAGTGGGATTCCGTTTGCCTGTGCATGCCATTTGTGTCACCACAAGCTATTCAGCATCCACCCCCTCTCGATGGATTTCCATGAAGGTAGGCAGAGGTTGATGAGCGTGTTACCACTGCTTGGGAGGAGTGTGAGCTCTTGGAGAAACATCCCCTCGTTGGTATTGTTTTATGATGCTTTGCTAGAAGGACGGGATTCATGCCTTGCCGAAAACACGTCGATACGTCGGATGTTAACTAAGGTGAGCTCCAGGATAAGACCACAAACGAAGATGGATGAAAACAGCCCTGGTTTTCACACAACTTAGCGAACACGTGGTGATCGGGCTCCTCGGTCGGTTGGTGTATTTGCCCATGTCCGTAGCACCGGTCATACATCCGTGTCCGGCAGCACGAGTACCCTTCTAACGGCCGTGTTCTGTGAAAGGAACCCACGTGGAGGCGTCGTAGGAAAGGCAAGGCTATTTTGGGCATCCATGACACGGTGACCTGGTAGCTTATGACGAGAAACCCAAGCTACCATTGTTCCTTCTTTGAATGCAGTCCGTTTTGACTCCGTCCGCGTTTTGCTTCCTTCTATCATGGCCCTCCTATCATTGTCTTTGTGTCCGCTACTCCTCGCAAGTATTCTCACTGCTTCTCTTGTGAGCTAGCTCTCTATTCCTTGGAAGGGCAGAGTTCTCTTCCAGGTCGTCTCTTCCTTCTTGGTTCATTGCGTGCTTTCGTGCTACTTTCCTCCGCAGTGGGATCGTTTCGGTCTTCCGTTCGCACCGGGGAGGACTTGGCGCGGGCAATAGCGGGATGAGGGAGGGTGACAAACCAAAGAACACAAAAAATCCGACGCTCGAGTACATTTAATTGACCGTTCTTTGACGACTCTTGGCCCAATCCGCCTCTTCCCGATGCCGTGACAGCAATCGACAGGCTTGACTGCACGAGGGCGCTTATTGACAGCGGGTACACCCTGGCTTCCTACAGGGTGCTCCACACCCACCCCGACTATCCCGTCGTACTTCCGATCTGGTCAGAGCTTTCCAAGGGCGACCTCCTGCCCCCGCGGCAGGTGACCCGGCAAGCTGGTACTCCGAAGAAGAACCGTGGCCCCCGGCAGCGTTCCCGATTCCCTGGTCGCAACGACAACTTCCAGCGCGGACGCGGCAACGTAGCCCAAGATGGAGGTGGTCGTGGCGGCGGGCCTGCCGCCGGGGGAGGGGGTGGTCGTGGCGGGGGCGGCAACTCTCGGCCCGTCCCGGTACATGGGATGGGCAGTGTTCGCAGCCACGTGGGAGACCTCAACGTCGGAGGTTCCGCGGGCGAGCGACCTACCGGGAGGTTGTGGGGGGGGCTCGCGGTTCAGCGCTACGGCTCGCAAGACGCTTCCGGCAACGACCACGCAGCGGGGGCGGGGGCCGGGTCATGCTCTATGCTGAGTCAATCCCAAGGCTCCATCGACCTGTCGTAGCTCAAGTGGTTCGACTCGTAGCTCAAGTGGTTTGACTCGTCTTAGGGTTAGGTAACTTGGGCCTTTGAATTTCTTCGTCGCACGTTGTCGGAGTCAAATACGACGCTGTGGTCCGTGAATGGCAGGGAGCAAGTGGTCGAATGTGTGTGCAGCTTTGCGTAAAACTCCCGCGACGACGGGGCGCGTGTTGTAGCGCCTAATTTCGCGTGCCAGTTTCCAAATACGATGCACAACAGACAGAGATGAACAGCGGAATCCGACAACCACGCACGCACATGACTTCGACTTGGGTTGATTAATGGGTAGAACCGTCGAGCCCCAAGAGGAAGCTGTTGTGAAGGACGGTTATCGTCAGCCTTAACGTCAGCCATGCGCACCCACGTGCAAACTGCTTCTCACGATAATCGCGACAAAGAGCGTTTGCGGAAGTGGCCCTTCACCCCAACAGACAAATTCGCAACCGAATAACTAATCCACACCGTGAACGCCCGTTACCCAAACGTGTTCTTGTCAACGGGGGAGAAGGGGACAGTGCGTCGTGTAGAAACACAGAACGCAAGTGTTGGACGCGCCCCCAGACATAGTTGCCGGTCCACGTCTCCACCGATTAGTGGTGATGTACGCAGCGAAAATAAATTGGGCCATAACCTTAACGTTTTGAACGCGATGCGTCTACTGGGTTCTACTGCTGCACGATGGCAACACTACGTGCGAAGAGTCTACTCCAGTACCACACCGCCACAGAAAGCTGTGTTTGGTGTTACCTCGGCAAGCAAACATGCATCTGCAGCATTTAACTCTGTTTGGGTCGTTGTGCACATTTCGATGGCTTTTGATGCGTGCGTGCACACAGAATGTTGCACCACCTTCTGGCCTCGTGTCGCAGCTTCTACATGATTCACTGGGGGGGGGGGTTACGGCTGTCTGCTGCGCATACAGCGGTGGGTACGTGTACATATAGTCTATGTCATGTACGTCCACCTGTCGGAAGTACCTTAGAACAGTAGGTTGGGTTCAACCGATGCAACACATGATAACATAGATATGATACAGGATTGTTATGGTGGTGGAGTTGAGGGAGGCTTGAGCCCCGAGTGCGTAGGTATTGCGAACACAAAAACCACAACACCTACTGCATCATCAAAACAATGGCCCGCAAAACAATTGCTTGCGTAGAACATGGTCTCACAAGGTCATCAATAGTCCATAGACTATAGTGATCTGATGTTGGCTGTGTGTGCTTCTTGGAGGAGAGAATGCGCACACAACACTACACGAGTAACGTTGGGCGCCGCCACTCCCTCCTGCCTGTGCCGTGTGTGCGTGTGTGTGTTGTCTGTTGTGTCTCAATTGCGATGTGGTTGTTGCTTGACTACTGCTGTAGCAGCAGCGGTCGCTCTTACTAGCCAACCAAGCCGCCCGATCAATCAATCAATGTAGTTGGAAGACGTCAGGCTTCTTCAGCGGATGAGCCGATGAATTATAACACCGCGAGCACGGGCAAGCGACAGGTAGGGTGATTGAGTTGGACGCCGCTCCTGCGCTGCCGCTCGCTCCTCCTTCCATGGTTGATGTCAAGGGCGTGTCTGTGTCTGCTGGTGCTGCCTCTCCCCTCCGCCCGCTCAGCGCAGCGCGACACATTGGCAAATATGTGCATATAGTCTATAGACTAGACTCTATGCATGTCAACCATGCAGGATCGGTCTCGCTTTCATAGCGTGACCCGTGCATCTCGCATATACACTGCAGCAAGCAGTC